ACAAACAAACACAGATACACGTTTTCTTCATGTTTTCTTCGAGTTTGAGTGGCTCGAGTTTGGGTCGTGAGTGGGAACTTTCAGTGGTGTCTCAATGAATGCTTTTCAAGGAAAACACCGATTCGTTTTTTTTTTAAATCTAAAAAAAACTACAAAATGGTGTTAGAGGTTAAAGTAATCGAAGGCCTCGACCTGGGTTTGCATATGGCTAGGGTTTACATATGAACTTGACCTCGTTTTTGAGCATGAAGAACTAAATCTTTCTTTTTCACGTTCTTTTATTTGGAATAACATTTTTTTTATTTTAGATTTAGGTTACTGGTTTACGCTAACTCTTGTATAACTATCTTTTGAATTGATTTATATATATTCTTGATCGTTAAGTCTGTTTTGAATTTTCATTTTGATGGGTTTATCGGAGTCCTTTAAAGATTACAGATTTGCATATGTTCACGAGGTTGTAAATGGTGGTGATGGTCAGATAAGAGAAAAGAAGCTGGACAAAGTAGTGATTGGAGATGAAAAAAGGTTAGATGAAGACCGAGAGAGGATGGATGGACAAGTGGCACCATCTAATTGGGGATTTTTTAATTAACTGGTAAAAGGATCAAAATACCCTTAATTTGATGGTTTTTTTTAACAGGATTAGGTTAGACACCCGATCCATAACAAAATGAAACCACAATTACTATAACCGTAATCATTTCGTTCGAGGGAATGAGTACATAATTTCCATAAAACCTCATGGGCAAATTTGTAATTTACTCTTACTAAATAAATGATGATAATCATTCATGCATCTATATTTTTTAGAAAAACAAAAAGGGTTGCCTTCTCTAATCATGATCTATCAAGAAAATGACTCGTCTCTTAGTTGGAGAATATTAGTTTTATGTAAAAAAAAAGTTATATATATATATATATATATATATATATATATATATACAAGTATTTGTATGTATATTCATTAGATTGGAATGTTGAAGTTTAAATTTTATTATTTCATTTTATATGTTTTTAAGCAAAGTTTCATGTAAAATATTTTTGATTTTGGATCACTTTAATATTTATACTATATTATAAAGCATTTGATAAAAACTCTAAAAAACCATTTTTTATGCATAAAACATTATTTATTGATGTATACTTAAAATTCAACTTTACAAGTAATTTTGCGTAAGTACAACATATTTAAGCTTCATTTTTAAATTCGTGTAACTAACTACAGATAAACATAATCAAATACAGGATAAACATTCATTTTAAATATAAAAAATCTAAAATTTAATCAAGATAATCATTGAGTTCTAGTATTATATCTATAAAAAATTATATTATTAAATCAAATATAAATTACTTTGTTATAAATCTAAATTAAATTATAATAAAGAATTGAATTAAATAAGTTACACCAAAAACGATAGCTATTAAACAGTTAATTCGATACTAATATCGATTTCATTTTTTTCAAATTTATATTTCATTCAAATAATAAAAACATTATCGTTTTCTCAAAATCACATAAAATTGTATTATATCGATAGAGACAAAGAATAAAAAGTAGACATTAAAATGAAAAGTTATCTCGTTGCATTGCGCTAGTACCCTTCTAGTTATTATATATAATAAATAAATTGTAGGTTTTGATTTGGTAGTAACATATACGTAACATAAAAAATGAATGTTATTTCAAAAAGAAAAGGTTAAAAATACGTTGTGACTGATATTGCAAGAGTGGTTATAAACGGCCACCCGCTTCTATAACTATCTATTAACTACCGGCATTTACAGATTAGATAATTCATGATCCATCACGGAATTGGATAGAGAATAGTTGAGATATTCAACATGGAGGGACCATAAGGGCATGACATCAGAAACAGGATCATCGAACAATCTTTTAACTTCGTGGCTCTGACCTTCCAAGACCTCGTAACTTCTGCTCGTTGCATACCTTGCTCCGCTACTGTATGAACAGTATTTCCTGTTAGTTTGAACATCAATTAAATAAAAAATTGTCCCTCTTCTTGTACCCTGGAATCTACAAGTACCGACGGTGGCCCAATAAACCACTTGACCCCTTTAATAGTATATAAGAGTCACAATCGTATTAATGAAGTTTGCTTGAAAATAAACAAGTACTTTTGATATTTCTATTTGCTCTTTTGCGTAAATCAAAACGTCTATTTTTAGATGAACCAGTTTACTATTTTTCTTTAAAACCTTATAATACCTCATGTGCCACTAGGGGTGAGCAGCGGAACCGTGTACCCGACTATAGAACCGGAACCACCTTGGAACTGCCGGTTCCGGAACCGGAACCGATATGAGTGGTTCCGGTTTCGGTTCCTAAAATACGGAACCGATTGAGAATGGTTCTAGTTCCGGTTCTCAATTTTTCGGAACCGTTACCCGTCGGGTACCCGATATTTTTCAAGTAAAAAAATAATAATAATTTTTTAATACCAAATTTATATTAGGTTTACATCTTGAAAGCACGTCGTCATTTTCATTCTTCATMTAAAWTCTCCATATAAAATGATTCGTATTTTTTCAAATTGTGTATTCACTTGGATTCATAGTATGTAATCGTTAAACTTTGAACATTTACCATTGTAATATGTAATCGTTAAACTTTGAATATTTTCTATTAGTCTATTATAGTTTGTAATCGTTAAACAATATTTGTAACAATTATTTTGTATAATTTGTGTTCTTGCTTATTTATTTAGTGTTTTGGCAATGTTTAATTTTTTTTTATTTCTAAACAATAAAATATTAATATTTTAGGAAGCGGGTACCCGGAACCGGAACCGGAACCAGTTCCCGGCGGTTCCGGTTCCGGTTCCAAAATTTTAAGAACCACTCTAACCGGTTCTGGTTCCGGTTCCAATATCTCAAGAACTGCCGGTTCCGGTTCCGGTTCCTGTCAAAAAGGGTGGGTACCCGCCTATGCTCACCCCTATGTGCCACAATGTTTTGTTGCAAGGTTTAAAGTAACATCTTTTTATTTCAACGCAACATATTTGAAATTTAATAACAAATATTTTGTGTATTTATACTTAAATAACGTTTAATAAAAATGTTACACTTTTTTTAATTTTATTAATTTAAACTATGTTTTCTTTGAAAAAGCACTTAACTGGTTGTCATTATATAATTTATATATATATACATATTTTTGTTTAAGAAAATATTGTTGAACCATTCAAACTAAGATACCAAGATTCTTCTTTTTTTTCTTCCAAATTTACCCTCACACGAAAAATAAAAATATTAACTTTTAGCAAGTTGATTTTTTTATATTAAAGGACACATTAGTCAATTTAAGAAAGTAAAAGTGTTATGTTATTTTTAGAACGTGATTTTTCTATAAAGACTTCAAACTTTACGATCAATATTTAATAAATTATTATTCTTTTGTTCCTAAAATAAATTTCTGTATTTTAATTTATATTTATCTTAAAACAAATGTACAGTTTCAAAAATAAATAACTAAAATTTTAAACCTAGTTTTAATTAATGCATAAACATGTAGGAATTGTTAAAAGATAATTTAATTAAAGATAAAGTTGTCATATGGTTAATTTAAAAAAATTATAATAATTATGTATGTTTAAAATTGTACGTCGTTTTTAATTTTGTATTATGGAATTGGAGTATCATTTCTAACATTGTTAAAAGGCATGCAATAATTTTAACAAAAATAAAGAAAATTAACAACAACTCAAAATCCACAATATCAATATTCAATTTTTATTTAAAAAAAGTCGAGTCAAAATCAATGGGGTAATGATATTTTTTTTATCAGATTAGGTAGGATTCAGGGACGGATTCAAGAAATTTTTGGATACAGTGACACCATATATAGATCGGTTGTACCTTCTAAAACAAAACGATTGTACATTTCACAAACCTAATTTTTTTTATCTTACCACGGAAGAATAATACGGTGGCACGTGCCATTCCAACCACCCCTCTGGGTCCGTCCCTGGGTACAAGTGACAACTAACTATACATTATACGTTTGAAACTCCATAAATTAGTATTTACGGTTCATCAAAAAATTTATTAATTTAAATTAAAGATGAGATTAATTCAAGGTGAAAAAGATTTAAATAAAAAAAAAAAGATAATTGACTTATTTTTTTTTACAAATCATTCATGTATTTGTAAATTATAAAACCCCATCCTCAAAGCAACGGATAGTCCCGATACATTTTAGTTCAACTTAATGAGAGAAGTTATTGATAGCTTACAACTTTAAAGTTATATTCTTTACACGTTATCCCTTAGTCATGATTGTATCAAATAATCGAGTATTAGTTAATGAAGTTTCAACTGTATACTTGTGATCACGTGAGACCAACCTGTTTTCATGAGACATCTTTTTTACACTTGAAACTTCAGAGCAAAACACTATAAAGATAACCTTCAAAGTGTTTTTGCTATCAATTAATTTAATAATCAATAATTAATTTATTAACTAGTTTATAGTTACAACATAATTATATGTATATAGCTTTTATTTGACAAATTATCTTTATTACTTTGATGAGTATATGTCATATATGGGATTATAGAAGTATAAATATTTAATTTATTGAATAGTAAAAAGGTTGATGTTTTTATCAGATATAAGACGGATACTGGGTAATGATTTTTTGTTAGCTTCAGATGTTAAGTGAGTCAAAATCATATTGATGTTTTTGAAGACGGGTTTTATGTAGGACCCAATCAAAATTACTGATAATCAGTTATTTTAAAGCAAATATAATTTTATATTTATATATCTAGGAAAATAAAATAGACAAAAATGAGGGGAAATATTTATAAATTTATAATTACAACTTAGTACATGAACTTGGGCATTCTTTCTCTCTCTCTTCTCTCTTCTTCATGTGATTTTTTGGGGGCAAAAGAGACATTTACCTCGTTTACAAAAAAACCATAAACAAAGGTGAAATTTAAAAAAAATGTCAAATCTATCCACACAAAAATTAAAACACAGAGGGCAAAAGAGTAAATAAAACCCAAAAAAATAAAAAAATAATAATAAAAATTTATTCTTCAAAGATGCTCTCAAGATGTGGTCGCCAATCGCCGGCCTGAACAGTCCGGCGAGCTCTCCGGTGTCCTAACTTCTTCTTCTCTGACACCACCACAACATCGGAAGAATGCAAACGAACACCGTTCTCGCCGGTGGACGCACCGTCGGGATGAGGCGGAGCTGCCACCCTGGTAATTTTTTTGATCTTTTTGGGATCTTTTTCTGATGGGCTTTTCTTGTTTACCGGCACGGAGGAGGAAGGTATCATAAAATAAATGCTGCCTCTTTTGAGCTCGGAACTGTTCGATAAGATCAAGATTCGCCGGACGACTCCCTGAGAACATGGTTTACTCAAGACATGATTAGGATAGTTCTTGAGAACCTCGCCGGCGGTCACCGAACGTGTGATCTCTTCAACGTAGCCATTTAAATGCACTATTCTGATCAAATCTAGAGCTCCACAGGGAAGAACACAGGCCAAACAACACCTCAAACTGTTCCCCATGGCGATCGATCGTTTCGATCTTCTTCAAGCGATTGAAACTGAAACGAAGACTTTTGGTTTTCCTGTGTGTTGGATGCGTTGGTTATGAAGGTGATGAGGGGAGATGGATTTATAGAAGGAGACCGTACAGGTGATCAGGGGGGGGTGAGGGAGGAATATTATAGTGACGAAATGTGAAATGACGGAAACACCCTTGGCATGGTGGTGCATACTTCTTGGATCTTGAATTATTAATGCCCCTTGAAAAGTGTATATTTAAGTTATGTGATTAGTTGTGGTTATGATTGGATTCAATTATCTTAAAAGACACTTAGATTATACATATTAATGCTATATTTGGTAACATTAATTAATCAATACAACTGTTATATCATGTTATCTGTTTTCGAAACTAAAAATCTCATTTATTTATGTCATTTTACATTATTAACTAGTTTATCTGTTAGTTTTAACAAACATGACTAGTTTATCAGTAAATTTATAATTAGCTAAGTTCACCTCAAAAGATGTAGTCGTCAGTGTAAAATGTCTACGATAAAAAACGACACACAGTTATTTTTATATATAAGAATTAAAAAAAAAGAGGGTGTTGAAGTGAAATAAATGATGGGTTATGCCTGACTTTAGGCCATGAACACGCTCATTGCAATTTCACATGGTCATAATGGAATTATAATTATTTCTAAAATTAATTTATAAGTAAAAAAAACAAAGGGTTAGATTAAAGCCAAAGGAACCCTTTTCAATTTTATTTAATTCTCCACTATTAAACATGCATCCATTCTGTTTTTTATTGCCAAAAAAAAGCAACATGGCTTTAAGTTAATGGTTATTCAATTCAATGGTTTAATTGCTTAACTTGAATTGATGATATGATGTTAAGGAAAAAGGTAAAAACACTGGAAATTGTAGACTAAATGACTGTTTGGCAGTTGCTGAATGGTAAAAACACTGTCCGCTTATTATAAATATCTCTTAGCGAAGCATCTGCAATGCCCCTCATCTTCTTAGTGTTACAAACTGGCGGTATTTTGAAGCACACTTTATAATCTATCAATGCGGACTTCATTAATCATTTCTTGCTTAGCAAGTGATCTCTTGCTAGAATTCTACAGGAAAAAAAGTACTCACGGGTGTGAAACACATGAATACGTCGAACCAACTCCTGTAGTTTACAAACAAAATTGACGTAAAGTGTTCAACCAATCCTAGAATGGTGGTTGGAGAACGTGTTACAATGAAGCAAGGCGTAGGCTTATCCCCCATTAGTCGAAAGCTTGTTGCACCCTTCACTATTCCCATAGGTGGAATTGTCTAGCTCGGGTGTAATGGATGAACAACGATTATTATCATCAGAATCGTTGATGACAATTCGATGGACTAAACCAGCAAGTCAACTACAAATGCATGGACCATATTTGAAACTTTACTATTTATTTAAGAGTAAATTACATGATTGGTCTATGTGGTTTGTTAGGTCAGATAATTTGTTGATAATCTATCATTCTACCCTTTATTTGATCTTTGTATGTTTAGTGGTTCTTTGTAAAAATTTGGTTGTGCTTAACAAGTTCGAGGAATCGAAGACTAGCCGATTTTCAAGAAAGTGTTTGCCGTTGTGGAACAAAAGACAGAATTCCCGATTTTATACCATACTGTTCCCTTGACCTCCTATGCTGATTTTCTCAGCTACCGATCTTCCCACCTGCCGAACTTCCTACGTAATATTCGGCAAATCAACTTGAATATCCTCTTGCAGCAGTTTTTCTGACAAAAATCTATCCAACATTGTACATGAAAAAAGACATTCTTTAAAATACCTTAAACACATTTGATCGAAAACCCATTTAACCATAAAACCTATTTGATTAGAACAAGTAAATCGAAAACTTAGAAGAACAAACCATAGGAAGAAATTGAAAACCATGGAGAGAAACTGTAGCCCAGAGGAATAAACCACAGAGAGAAATCAAAAACCATGGGAAGAAAAAACCGAAAACCATAGGAGGAACAAACCATAGGAAGAATTTGGTACCTATGATTGTGAAAACGCAGAGGCTTGAAGAAGACGAGAGGCCGATTTCTTTGGAAGAAGTCGTTTGAAACAGTAACCGATACTTGAAACTGGAAGCGTGAATGGAAGCTTGGTACATGGAAGCGTGGACCGGTGCAAGGGTAGTTGGAGGAATTTAGCGGAAGTTAAATGGCTGAGTGTAAAAGAATGTTGTTTTCTAGCTGACCACATTAAATCATTGGTTGAGTGAATAAGCCATAATTGAACAGCTACTTATGGCTTATGGAATAAGCCATATAGTTATACATCCCATTAAGCCACAACTGAACAACCCCTAAGCTAACATAATTTCTTAGAAGGAGTTACTGACAGGGACCCAATGCATTATGAATTACAAACCACAAGAAAATAATTCATAGATGTTTCAAAATAGTCTTTGAATATTTATATAATTTTCTTGTAAGTAAATCAAATTTTCGTTTGAACTTGTTTTTATAAATTATTTTATTTAAAATATAGGTTCATGTATATTTATATAATATATTATTGTTTTATAGAAATTTTAAAATAAATCATAAAATATTAATGCTTTTGGTTTATTTTAAAAAAGAATTACCATTTTATGATGATCCATTATCCAAAGTGTATGTTGTGGCCTATACCTCCTCGCTAAACGACAAAACAGAGTGAAAAAGTCGTTGCCTATAATTTGCACATCATTATTCACCTAATTCTTGGCACGCATGCACTTATTCTTTCCACGCACTTTTAGGGTGATGATGCTCAAATTAATTAAAATAGTTATTTTTACTATGGATTTTATTTTTTTAATCATTTTTTTAAATAATAAAAATAATTATAGGTTCATAATTTGTAGAGATATTAAAGTGTTAAAAAGAAAAGGATTCTGAATAGGTCCGTAATTGTATGAATCAAATATGTAAATTAGTTATAGGTCTGTAAAAATATATCTGTATGGATGTGTTTTTTTAGGTTTACATCACTGCAAGATTCATAAACTTTTTTTTTCTTACACTTTGACCCGTCCGTAAATTACAGATCTACCAACTGCAGACCTGTGGCTATTTTCGTTATTTGAGGAAAGAAATGACTAAGAGGTAAAATCATGCGGTCAAAATGGCTATTCTAATTAATTTTTCATTAAAATGCAGATTTTTCATACGCATTTACTTTTAAGATTTTTAATACATAATTGGACCTGAATTTAACATAAAATGATATATTCGCTCATTTTATGTCAGAATTAGATCAAATCATGTATTGAAAATATATAAAAAAGTGAGTGTTCATGTTGATGTGTATTACGAAGAAATTAATAAATAGGGGTGCATTTAGCCCATCCCTCTTTTTAATACTGCAAAACTGTGGTCGACAATTTTGTGTTAAACCAAACCCAACAACATGTCTACCAAACGTATCAATTTAATTGATATTGATTATACTTGGTTGCTACTTGTTGTCCCAAATATGTAGGTAGAAAAACGAGAAGGCGACACGTGTCCCATTTATCATGAATAATGAACGTGAATTTTTTACAACATTCATGATCTATAATACACCATTCATGATGGATATATCGTCAATGTTCGGAACACGTGTTGGGGCTCTCATTTGATCATCGGTTCACAAACGAAGTTAGGTTCGTAACTGAGCATGTTCATAGATACATATACAGGGGTTTAATCATTTGAGAACACTAAAATTTGAGATCCATGAAATCTATTCTCTGCCACTAATTTAAGATAATTAATGTTATAAATTAATGGTATAATTAAAGAAAACTACAGATCACATAATGAACAAACAGGGTCGATAATCATGGGCCTGATCATATTTAGTTTTCGATTTATCACAACATTATCACAGCAAAATTACATCATTATAATAACAAAATTACATTAATAATAATGAATCTAGCATTTTATCTATAATTACGTATATCGGCTTATTAACAATGAATCTGCCTTCGTCTTAAGTCTTAACAAACACAACACATTTTATTTTACATTATTAAAAATGGAATATTTTATTTTTTATATAAGTATTTGTTCTCAATTATTAATTCTCATTTATCATATTTTTATTATATATTTTTAAACATTTAATTAATAATTTAAGATTTTTCTTAAACTATATTAGATATTAAATGTTTTTATTTCCATAAAAGTTATCATCTGAGAATCATTTTTCTCTTGGTCTTTGTGCTCAATTTTCTTATTTATAAATACACTAAAATTATAATACATTTAAGTACCAGCTGGCTTAGAATTTGTAACAAATTATATACATATATAATATATATATATATATATATATATATATATATTTAGGATCATGTGAAACCGACATGTTTTCGTAAGATACGTGAGACCATTTTTTTATACTTGAAACTTCACAACAAAACACTGTGAAAGTAACTTTCACAGTGTTTTTGTTGTGAAGATTCGAATCTTTTTTACATTTCACAGTGTTTGTTGTGAAGTTTCAATTGTAAAAAGTGGTCTCACGTGTCTTACGAAAACAATATGGTATCACGTGTCTTACGAAAACAATATGGTCTCACGTGAATATAGACTTGGTATCGTTGTTTTCGTGAGACAAGTTTTTTAAATTTGAAACTTAACAGCAAAAGGCTGTAAAGGTAACCTCACAATGTTTTTGTTGTGAATGTTCGGTTTTTTTTACCTTCACATTGTTTCCTAATATAAAGTATTGATCATAATTAATGAACTATATTCATCTTCCATAAATATTTAAATCATAATAAATGAACTCTTATCATTTCCATAAACATCTCAATTTATTGGGTTGCATTGGTTGTACAAATGCAACAGGTTGTATTTGAAACAAACTCTCTCTCTCTCTCTCTCTCTATATATATATATATATAGGGTTAGGTTCACGTAAGACCAGCTTGTTTTCGTGAGATCCGTGAGACCACATTTTTACACGTAACCTTCACAGCAAAAACACTGTGAAGGTTTAAAAAAAAGTCGAACCTTCACAGCAAAAA